GCAGGCATATGTTTTTCGGCTACAACAAAGATCCCATGCTGATTCAGTAACTAAAGAAAAGCCATAAATTTATAATATTTTATTGCCATGATGAATATTGTTATTAATATAATTGAATTTAGGAGCGAATCTAAGAAAATGTTGGTCCGGGATCTCTTTCATAAAAATGATATTGTGCGGATCAAAGATCCAAGAATACATTTCTATTTAAAATATTTATCAAGGACTTTAGAATAGAATTCTATTTATAACCTTCATGGTGCGAATAAGAGGTTATAAATAAATAGTACTAATAATAATAAGGTTAGAGTCTATAGGGCCTAACATCTTTGATGCGAATACAATTCCACGCTGGAACTCTTCAACATAGATAACCAGAAATATGACACAAATTCTACTTTCGGTTTTGTTTCCTGGTTAGAACTGTCTGCTGTACGTTTACAAGGCGTAGCCAAGCATGCGATGGAAGACTAACCTCTCGTATTGTGAATGTGTACATTATGACTTGTTTGAGCAGGTACCAACGAATTTAAAACTTTTTGAGCCGTGACCATTGTGTGCTGGAAAGAAATTATCTCGTGAAAGTGAAAGTTCAGAATTAGATTACAATGAATGAATGACTCAGTTACTTGCTTTGGCACTAGGGCCTTAGGTCTTGTTTTTGGACTGAGGAGAATCTGATGGGGGAAATTGGGTGTAGTCACAAGGTTAGGTGGAGACACTAGGACAGCTGGTTTAGAATGGAAGCTGACAATACATCGTATCTACTGTATGTGAAGGCATTGATTCGCCTTCTTTTAATCCTGTTTATTCTCGTGTCATCCGTACAAATCACCGTCTCATGGGCAAGTGGGCTGTGTCTTCTTGCCTTGGGAGGTAAGTTTTTCAAATGATTTATTTTTCTAAAGGGGGATCTGTATTAGTATTAGATCTAGTACTAAGAACTCTTACATTGTTATTGCTCTCCTTCATCATAGAAGTCTAGTAAGTTAGAGCTATAGACTGTGTCTATATTTTATAGACTCGTCTCCTTAACATGACTTTGGGCTTTGGGTGAAATTAATTCTTTCTGAAAATCAAAAATTGATTTGTTAAAAATGAACTTTGGTGCAGTGATGAGTGTTTGGAGACGTATAGTATAGTCAAGACAATAGTGAGCTTGTTAAATTGTACATTTTGTGTTATATATATAGAGAAAAGTTTTTATCGACCCAATTATCTAGATAGATCATGATTTAGGAGGCAGGAATGCTTTAAACTGGGCTGTGAGCAGTGATACTAATCTTCCTTGGATCCAAGGAATTCCCAGTTTTTGGGCCTTCCTAGGAAATTTCTCCGCGATCAGGTGTCCTACGGAGTCTCATGAACATCTTCTCGCGTGCCACGTTGAAACTGTGCGCTACATTATTTTGATTTCTTTGTTTCGATTTGGATGGCTTTCTTTATTCTCGATTCTCATTCATTTGCACGACACTGTTTCCACTCTGGCTTCATACGGTCATACATGTCTTCCTCCTCTAGTTTGGTCGTGGCATGGGATTTTCCTCCTTTTTTACTTTTTATCATTAGCATCACTGGCTGTGAGGGATACAATATGTCCCTGGAGACCAATGGAGTCACTTATATCCCTAACCGCTAGCCATCAGTTTATGGCTAGATGATCTTGAAGTATAAATGGGTAAAGAACCATTCCTAAATGATGTTCTACTAGACCCAACTGAGCCTGTTTAATTGAAATCCTTTAACAACTGTGATTCAAACTCCTCATCTTTAAACTATGAAGCCCCTGCATAGTGACAGTCTACTAACTGTAGTGCTACTGGCATGCCATAAATCACAAGTGTGCAGTATTTTGGTATCTAGTTACGAGGGAAGAAGTTGACTCCTTAGGTTGGAGAATGATGCTATCAAACTGGTGATCTTTGACAGTCTTCTCCTTATGTTAATCCACATGATGTGGCTTGCTTGTACCATCATGAATTTTTGCTTCAATTAGTAGGCCTATCAGATGCAGATGAATGTTTGAACTATGACAGAAAACTCACAAGATTTGTACTTTTTTCTGCGCTATTTTATTTTCAGGCTCGTATTACTTTTTCAAGTCAGAAGACAATAGTTCAAGCAGAACCTCAGCACAGAAGAAAGTCAAGTCTGACGACTGGAGCTGGAATTTCCTCCTCACCAATCCATTCAAGGGCAAAATGGGCCCTGGATTTTTGACGGAAAAGGAGGAAATTGACATTGCCAAGAAAGTGTCAAACTCAGTGCTTTACGACGCTGGAGCGGTGCAGTCGCTGCGTAACTTTGATGTGATCAAGAAAAATACGGAATGCGTGTTTGCGAAAAGATCCCGTGCCTGGGGATCTCCATCTTATGACTACAACTTAACCTTGGGTAGGTGTTGCTGTGCGGCATGATTATAGCGATTGTATAAGATTGAGGAACAAAAGGAGCTGAAGCAGTGGGAATATGGTGTGATAGTTAGTTATGTTGTTGTTACAATCATCTGCATGACTTTAAAACTATCATCACCGTCATCATTGTAAACAGCTCGAAGATAAAAGAAAAGCTAAAATTTTGTGGAAACTGTGTAGAAAATCCTAACTGCAGCTCAAACTCCTCATCTCTAGACTATGAAGCCCTTGCACAGCGACAGTCTAAGTGTGGCACTACTGGCCTGCCATAAAAATCATGTGTGTGTAGTAGTAGTATCATCACATCGAAGATAAAAAATGAGATGAAAATTGGTGGAGACTGTGCATCATCATCATCATCATCATCATCCGCAGCAACAGCAGCAGCTGCAGTAGTAGATAGCAGCTGTAGTGTTGTTTAAATAGTTTCCATAATCTGAGCTATCCTCATTATCCTCTGTATTATTAGCATCTTTTCAATCTCCTCCCTCCCATTGAAACCACAGTTCATCAACAATCAATGTGTTAATTAAGATGTTGGCTAATGAGGACAGTGCTGTCAAACAAAACTGACGAGATCGAGGAAAGTGCTCAAAAGAATTATTATGTCTTGTACAGTCAATCCTGCTCTAACAGCCTCTTGTAGAAGACAATCACCTACCTTTTTTTTTTACCACCTGTTCAGGGTGTCCAGCAAAGTCGTAAAATCGAAAAAAAGTCGTAAATTCGGTGCCCTGGTCGTAAAGGTCGTAAATGGTAGTAAATTTGCCTTGAAGGTAGTAAAAATCTGGTAAGCGGTCGTAAATTAGCCTGCATACTGAGTGATGAAGCCAGCAAAACTTTTCAGTGAACCCTAGCCGCGGTACATGACACCGTTGTTGCCGGTCGCGATTGTGATATAATAGTCGTTCACCTTTTCCCCGTCCGAGGGTACGTTTCACGCGAAAAGCCGCTATGGCGGCAGGTTGAAGTGTATGTGACACCGAGGCTCGATCGGGAAAATCAAGATCTACTTTCACTTTCGTTACCACCCTGAAATTTGGCGAAGATAAACTGATAACGCAACATTTGTAATATGCAGGTTGTACAGTATAAATGCTATGTCGCCGTGCAAATAAAATTTAATAATTACTCGGTTTGTTTGTCACGCTTGTGAACTACTATTTCCGGGGTGCCTTGATAGTCGAAACTTGATTCCTCGTTTGGACTTCTCTGTTGACATCCACCCCTTGTCGCTCATATCACCTATGCAGTTGTGAGCACCGTAAAAACCTTACTAAAACTAAATCAAATCTAGCTGCGAGCAAGCTTGTGATCGTCTGTCTATCCTCCATTTTGTCGACTGGATTTTGTTGTGTGTTCTTTTCGTTCCCTATGTTGTGTAATAATAATATATATGTTACTGAATGCGCAAATTAACTCCCTTTTTCGAGCTGGTGTGGGGCTTGATTTGCTGGGTAGTCAATTTTTTTCCAGGTAGTAAATTTTTTCAGGAAATATTGCTGGACACCCTGCTTGTTGTTTATTATGTTTTTCCTGAAATTCCAAAAGTTTCTGATTCTCGCACTCACACTGACACACACACACTCACACACACACACACACACTAAATTACATATAATTTTTAATGTACGGTTATGAAGATTTAGACCTCATGTATGTATAATAATCTATGTTTTCTTTGTGACAATTCCTTTCTAACCTTTTGTGTTATTTCGTTTCATAACTGCCATGGTGAGCAGAGGAGAACATCAAAGGGTGAGTGGCAAAACTTGGGCGGTATATTTCAGGATTTTTAAAATGTAGGAATGGCATTTTTCATTTTTGGGCTCAGTGTAGTCTAACTGTTAGTGTCTTTAGTTCAGTTACAAATTTTGCTTTTGCTCCCGTAAGCACTTACGCCAGTACCTCTTCCTGCACAATATAGACTTCTGCTACTCCTGTACTGGAAGCCAGTCTTGCTCATCACTGTGGTACAAAACGTCAAATTATTACGTTTTGAATGTCCCGTACAAACACAGGGCCTACAACCCCCCCCACCCCACCCCCAAAAAAAACCCAGCAGCCCATAGTCTGAGCATACCTGCTATTTATAGACCAAGCATGTTACTTCAGTGAATTCATGTGGTTTTCTTAATTAAATCTATAATTCAGAGCTTATGTATGGGAAAGAGTGTAAAATTATAAATGCTATCCTTTATTATTATTGTTATTTACTTAATAACATTATTTTTTTCCTCGTCTGAGAATTGTGTTTTATTGTTTTTGCTTTGAATGCATTATATGCAATGGAGTCTGTTTACATTGCAATCAAAATCTGCAGGACTGCCGGATTCTATGATGGTTTACCCAGGTTTTCAGTTTAGAGATGATGCTCAAATAGAAGGGAAAAAAAAATTGGATTTTCTTTTCTTTTTGTTTCTTACTGTCTTCAATTTAATGTGCTGAATTTAAGCAGACTCTGCTATAGAGTTACAGCTTATTTTTGTGTAAAATGTTAATGTTGTAAATTCACTCGCCATAGCAACTTTTGATCTTTAGGAAAAATACGTGGTTGGTTGGCGGGTGCTCTGGTGGGGTTTGCTCCTTCTTACCTATCAAACATTTATCGTCTTTATCTCCCATCCTTCTGTTTTGTGTTTGTTACTCTCTTGTAATCCTGTAATCTTTGGCACTTATATGACCTTATTGTGTTGCAAGTGCCGTAAAACTCTTACTAAAACTAAAAATTTCTTTGTTCGCCTTTTTTTCTCATTCTTCTATATAGATCTGTTGCTGTGACTTTCACAGGTTGATCCCCACATTCTACAAATTCACGTTGGCCTTCCAGCCGTTGAGACTGGATGCCTTCCTCATTGAGCTGCCGGGCTCCCTCTACGGGACAGACATACAGGTAATGCTAAAGTAATAATAATAAAATAATAAATAGCATTTGTATATATATTGCATATCCCCGCTCAACAGCAGGCTCTATGCGCTTTACACTATATTATTACCCCAGCAGACCATAGAGCATACAGTGCAAGCAGCTGATTAAGCGCTCAAACACTAACAAACTGACAAGATCTTTCGCTGTCTATAGCCGGGTACCCATTCCCACCTGGGTGAAGTGAGGAAAATTCGTGTAAAGTGCCTTTCCCAAGGACACAACATTAGGCCCCTGACGGGATTTGAACCCACGACCTTACGGGTGCGAGCCCGAGAGCCTAACCACTAGGCCACCGTGGTTAGGCTACTACCGGACTTGTAATCATGAGGTCGCGGGTTCGGGGGTTCGAGCCGTGGGCCCAATGTTTTGTCCTTTACACGAATTTTTGTAGCTCTGTAGTAGTAGTACTAGTGGTGTCGAAGGCTGGTATGATGACTGTACATATTGAAATTGTGTCGTCTGATTGTTATTTATTGAGTATTATTAGTATAGCTTTTGTCTTTTTACTGAAAAAAAAATAACTTACATTTCTGGGAACCATATATTACTGGCTGTGTTGCGTTTTTCAGGCTTTGAGCAAGGCTGTACGCACTGTTCTACTCACGCTGAGAGAACACGATTTGAAACTGAGACGAGCAGCGGTCAACGCGAGAGCAGACTTTGATGAGCCGACGCGGAAGAGTCAACTGGAGCTTCTGGTCGAGCACCCGGAGCGCTGGGACAGACGCAACTGGGTGTTTGAGTTCAACCGCGTCACGTTCTTCATCACGTCCTTTGCGCCGTTTTACCCGGAAGAGAACTCACGCTACTCGTTTGGCTGCGCAGACTGCTACATGCTGTTCCAGCCGGAGATGTCGTTCGCTCTGCACGATCTCCCTCCTGACACCGCTGAGACCAACTGGGAATGTCCGGTGAACGTAAGGGACCGGATCCGTGTGGCTTTCAGGGAGGCTGGTAGGGAGTACGAGGCACCAATGAAAGTCAAGGAGCCGATGGTGTACGAAATTGTCAAACGTGTTCATCCTCAAGATGATGTGATTAAGTGGTGGGAAGGTTCATCATGATTTCGTTGATTTAACTCTTTCCATGCTCAGTAACTTGATAGATTGTTATGAAATGTACATGTACTGGGGGTGTGCAAGTCTGAGCAATTAGGAAATAGTCATTAAGCCTGCTCTACTCTGGCGTTGACCAGATGACAAGGACATGTGGTTTCTTGAGGGAGGCATTGCGCTGCCAAGAGCCAAATGCTCAGAGCTAAAGGAATTTGAAAACGACAAACAACAACAGCATGAAATAGTCAAGTAAGTAGTTGAGTACTCAGATCCCGAGTAGCCTTTGGCTTAATGTGTGATTTGCTGATGCATAAACTAGATTTTAATAGTTAATTAATAATAAAGTAAAACGAAATCAGAAAAGAAATGTTAATAATGGTAAAAACAACTAGAAATGTGAAAATCACATTAACTGTGATGATTTGAAAAGAGCTCCAAAATAAATTTGAAAACGAAAAAAAAAAAAATGCAATGCAGCAACAAACAAAAACAATGAAAATTGCAAAGTCTCTGCTGTGTCTACTAATACCGAAAGCCTCCACAGACTTTTAAAAATTATTACTCTAGCAATTCCCGAGTACTCTGTTGTTAAGGACTTGAACGAGTAGTGGAGTATTCAAAACTGTCCCCATGGTTTTATGCAAAAATAATTCTGAAATTATGCAAACTAAGCCAAAAAATATGAAATTATGCGATTCTGTTAACTTTAACAAAGAATGATAAAGGTAAATAATAAGAAATTATTCAAAAAATGATCAAATTTTGCTAAATTATAATATACGGAGTGCATAAAACCACGGGAACAGTTAAAAACTACTGAAGCAAGTACTTTCAAGGTCTAAATACTTGAGTACCCGCGAGGATTTGAGAACTTGCACACCCCCGGTACTAGTATGCTACCTAATGTACCTGTAAAGTAACAAAACGCCTGGCACGAAACTCCACTGTTTCCCTGTTCTTTCAACGAATCAAAAGTAGGGCCATTTGTTGAGGACTGCTTCGGTCAAATGTTTTGTATATTGAACTGGAAGATGAGGGTGCATCCTTCACGTCATGAAATGTATTAATAACAGGATGTGTGTGTTGGTGGGTATGTGTGTGCATGTGATTGAGAGAGAGAGAGTGTGAGAGGGAGGGAAGTGAGGAGAGGAAGAGAGTGATACTGATAGACTGGAAAAAGTTAAAGAATGAATGTGGGGGTTTCCAGGGGAGGGGGACGGGGAATTCCTGGGATTGTTACGTTTCTGCAAATGACTACAGACTACAGTGTAAATATTTATTATATTCTGCGAGAGTTTGTGTGTAAGACTCCAATTTACTCCATTCTAAAAAAAAAGAGTTTGTAAGACAGTATTTCTCGATTTATTTTTTTTCTGTAGTTTTTGTGAAAAGGTTGTGTTGTGAACCTTTTTAAAATGCTCTTAAAATAGTCTCTGGGAGTGGGAGTAGATTGAAGTGGAACTGTAGATTACACTTTTGAAGTGGTCTCTGGCTAATAGCATGCCTGTATAAAGCTTGATCAGCCTCAAAGTCAAAGCACACTGAATGCGCAGAACCAAATTCTTTCGATAGACCTACTCCTCTTTGAAATTCACATAAAACTGTCCCCGTGGTTTTATGCAACCCCCATAATTTAGCAAAATTTGATAATTTTTTGCTTAATTTCTTATTGTTTTCCTTTATCATTCTTTGTTAAAATTAACAGAGTCACATAATTACACATTTTTGGGCTCAGTCTGCATAATTTCAGAACTTTTCTTGCATAAAACGACAGGGACAGAAAAGCATGTTTTCTCCAAAGCACGATTTTCTCGACACTCAATGTGCATGCTGTTAGTCGGAGACCATCACTATACCTGTAACTGTGATTTGAATTTTGTTTTGAATGCAACTGATATTGGTATTCACTTATTGATGAAACCTTCATTTTTCTTGTTGGTGTACATGTATTCAGAGCCGAGTCTTTTTCTCTCTTTCTCGTGGGAAAAAGATTATCAAGTATCCAACCAGTGGGCGTTGTGCACCGTGTGCAGTGTTTATATTTGACAGTATGGCGGGGCAAATGTGTGTGTGCCTAAAGAAAGGTACGAAAAGTCACCTCGGACCATTTTGAGCTACAGGCTGATACTGATAATGACAAAAATAACTATTTTTGACCAAAATGTGTTTCCATACAAAAATGATAGTTCCACCTTTTTTTAACAATGTATTAAAAGAGTTTTTATTGATTTGACTTCTAAATATTTTATTTTGAATTATTTTGAAGGTAGGATATGTTTTAAAAAAAATAATGAAAACTGCTTTTAAAAGGTGTTAAAATCTATTCTTGAAGCATGTTTTCTCTTCTCCGCTATGTTTTACCATTGAATTCTAATCATGATATTGATGTCAACTGAATGCCGAATTGGAAAAAAATTTCCTTGAATAAATACATTAGAAACAATTGAATCCTCTTTTTTTTTCATGTTTGTATGTGTTCTAAACTCATAAGCTAATTTTCTCAAAATTATACATTTATATGTATAGGCCTACCCTTCCTCACAAAATGTGCAATATATCTGGAAAAATTCCAAAACCATGAGGTGCAACACTGAATGTTCTATTAGGTAGGCCTACAATCCTTAACTCAAAACGGTTAAAATCCGACTTTTGGTACCTTTCTTTAGGCGCACACACATTTTTGTACAGTATATTAGTATACAAGTCTTTCTGCAGAGATATTGTGTCCCTCTTGGCCTGGGTAGGTCCTGACAAGCAGAGTCGAAGCTCGCCTCTTAAATGAGTGCGACTGATAGGGGCCTAATAAAGCCTAATTTAATCCAAAAAACAACCAACGATCAGACATAAGGTAGACAAGTCAATAATATTATCAGACCTATATGACACAGTTATGTATGCTCTATGTATGTGGGTATGCATATATAAGCATAATATATTGTGTGCATGTGTGTATGTGTGTGTGGTGCGTTTGCTTCCACTTTAACAGTTGTCAGGAGAAGACAAAGATAACACCCGTGTCATTTGCTCAATCAACACAAGAGAGATCAAACAAGTCACAAAAAACCCCAACAACAACAGAGTAAAAGTAAAAGTTATTTCCGGTGGAAAGAAAAGGGGAAAATAATTCCAATCAACAATAACAACAACCGAGTCATATTACTTGAATAAAATAACTTATTTCTGTTTTACAAGAAGGTCATAAAAGTACACAGACATACAACTAACAGTAACACATCGCAGAAAGGTCAGCTTCTCAGTCATACGACACATCACAGAAAGGTCAGCTTCTCAGTCATACGACACAGCGTATGAAGATAAGCTTCTCACAGATATACAATGACACACACACACCGTACAGAGATCAGCCTGTCACAGCCATACATCTACACACTACACAAGTACACATCCATCCAGAAGCAGTTTCTTACCACATACACCATATAACTTATGCAACACACCACACACCAAACACAGCACACACTATACACCATACATCAGACACACTGTACACATCATACCATACACACCATACCATACACACCACACCATACACACCACACACACACACAGTACACCACATACACACCACACATACTACACACATCATACATCACACACGCTAAACACACAACACACCATATACACACCACACACCATAATCTCTCAACAACATTACATTCTACATGCAGACATCTAGGTACCGGTAATGCTCTTTTCCCTACAAAACCCCAAGATTCTGTTGAACCATTTCACCCCTAGGGGGCCATTCTTTAACCCTATCCGTACGTCGTGTTTTACTATCGTATCCATATGACATGGGGAACTATGTGCCACCACTTTCCAAAGGGGAAATTTACTCGTTAATCCAATCCGTAGGCTTTGCATAGCAGTTTGTCAAAATGATTTTTTAAAAGAAATACTGAAAGTTTCAAAGAGATCTTCGTGCTAGAAGTATTCTAAAATGTGAAGAATACAACCCCGGGGGTACAAAATGATCCCAGGGCTTACGGATAGGGTTTACACAACAAAACCACAACATTCTGTAGAACAATTTCATCCCTACTATGGAGCTGTCCTAACACATTCCCTCAATCCTTAGAACAAAGGAAATAAACCCCTAAAACAGTCTACATGACTACTTGTTTAAAAAAAACCCTCATTAAAACAACATTTCTGTACAAAATGATCTGGAGAAAAGCGCAACTATGTCAGGAAAAGAACACTGGTTCTGACAAAGCCCTTTTCCCTCTGCAGTACAGTATTGACAAGTAATCCATTTCTTCCAGTTTAGTGAACTCATTTCATCCACATTAGTGAATGAAAAATACGATATTTACCAAATATTGCAAAACGAACGTTCAATCTGTCTTTGTTTTGCGTTGACTTGCGCTACATTAGACAGAATTCCTCACAAAATGTTCAACCTGCCTGCACACTCACTTGTTTTACACAAAATCCCTTCCCACAAAATCCCATCAACTCTATCCACAAAATCCCATCAGCTCTATCCACAAAATCCCATCAACTCTCTCCACAAAATCCCATCAACTCTGTTATCTACATAAAGATCAATTTGAGAATTCCGTGCAACTCTTGCTCCACTCCGTAATTGCTCAACAGTTGTCCCCCCTGCCCGACTCGCCCACACCCACGCCCATCAGCCACTTCTTCCTCTACCTTCATAGGCGCATTCAGCAGCGAGGGCAAGGGGGGGAGGAAAACATGCTCTCCCCTCCCGAAAACCAAATCCGCCCTCACTCTCTCACACACCAGACTACGTCCAGGAGATCTGGGTTCAATCCCCAATCTTGTGCAGAAATCTCTCTCCCAGCCAGACCTGGATTCAAACCCCAAACTTGCGCCAAAATCTCTCCCCCGGCCAGAATTGAGCTGGGGTCAGAGGTTACGTAACTTGTCCAGGTCTTTCTTGTCGCAGGCTTCGTACAGGTCGGTGCGCCCCAGGAGAGACAAGGTCATGCGGAGCGTGCTCCAAATGTTGTCGGACATGGCTGAACTTTGACCCTGGGGGCCTCGGCTCTCTCGCTGCATGACCAGCGCCGTGACAAAATGGCCGACGGCTTCTCTGTGGATAGTGATTGGAACAAACAACATGGATGAAAAAACCAATACAGGACACAGGTGAAACCAAAAACAAGCTACCGTACAGGTAAAACCAAAAACAAACTATTATATACATGAAAAACAAAAATCAAAACGAAAAAAAAAATTCCTCCCCCCCAACCCAAAACAAGCAGTAGAACTAACTAAACCATTGTAAACCAACAGTTGAACTTACTAGAACAAGCTATTAGTCGAGGACTCTGCATTGCAATAGCTTTATGAGTATGAAGAAAGAACATTACTAACTTACTGATGATGTAAATTGATGGTATGTACTGGACCTCGTATCCATTAAAACCTCAGATTCAAGGAAGTTAAAGTCCAAATCCAAGAAATGTAATGTCTGTTACTATTCTACCAGCTATTGTAAAAAAAAAAAAAAAGAAAGAAAGAATACAGGCCAGACATCTTGAATATATATAAGGAAAAAGAGCCACAACTGAAGTCAAAGAAGGCACAAATTTTGTTGCCTCCGGTCCCCCCCAGAAATGCACATACTTGTACGCCTGCAAGTTGACGCATGCGATGCCCAAGTTGAATCGTGACCGGATAAATCCCGGCGCCTGCTCGAGAGCTCTCCTGTACGCCTCCACTGCCTCCTCGCTCCTGTTGCCGTTGGCTAAAGATGCTCCGTATTTATTCCAAAGCATCGCATCCTGTTTCAAAAGACAAACACAAAAAGACATTAAAAAAACTATACTATTATTATTATTTAGGTTCAATATTCATTAGAACTGGAGCCTTGAGCTACTGAAGAGCATTGTCAAGAATCCTGAGATGAGTTTTAGCAAGAGTTTTACGGCACTTGCAAAAGAATAAGGTCATATAAGTGCCGAAGATTAGAGGTGTTACAAGAGAGTAACAAACACAAAAAAAGGAGGGGAGATAGAGACAATAGGTTTTTTTTATAGGAAAGAAGGAGCTAACCACACCAGAGCACCCGCTAACCACCCACAATCCTGAGATGAAGAAGACATTCCAAAAACAAGATGTCCATCAAAGAGAATAAAGCCAAGCAGGATTTTGAAAAATTAATTTTTAATATGATTTTTTTAAATATAAAAAAAGTGTTTTTACACCCCCCATTGACACAATTTAGATAATTTAGGAGGTGGCTTTCCGACCCTGCCTGTCTTTGTTCGTTTGTTTGCTCAAATGTCTATTTAAAATCATTTTTTGTGTGGATTTGACTGAAAAATGTTGATCAAAAGCAAAAAAAAAAAGAAAAATAAAAAGAAATTTTCAGTCCCCAAAGACATCTTAGCTTTGCAGGTCCTCAAACTTTGGCAGCCATTTCCTCGTTAATTCTACCTTCAGTAACACCAGGTGAACCTCACCTTTTTCAATCGCAATTATCCCAACTTCTTCTATTCCAGATAGATGGGTACTTTTTAAAATCAAAAGCAAGGTTATAGCAGTTTTAGTTTTAGTTAGAGTTTTACAGTACTTGCAACACATTAAGGTCAAATAAGTGCCGAAGATTAGAGGGGCTACAAGTGAGAAACAAACACAAAAAAAAGGAGGAGAGAAAAGGACGATAGATGTTTGATAGGATAAAGAAGGAACAAACCACACCAGAGCACCCGCAAACCACCCACAGATTATCGCACCAGACTCTACTGTGCCATGACACATATATCACGTTAAATAATAAATAAAGGAGTTTTTTTTATTTCCTTCAGTCTTTCGTAGAGATACAAAACAAACAGATGTGCATATGAGGAGGACGCTGGCCCCGACAACCGCTAACCTGTGGTTTCACTTGTAGCGCCAGGCCGAAACATTCCACGGCTTTGTCGTACTCGCCGCTGAGGTTAAAGAGTACTCCGAGACCGCACTGGGGGGAGAAAGAAACACAGACATGGAGGGTTATACACACACAGACACATGCACACACAATGACAAACAGACACAAATACTTGGCGGCTTTGTCGTATTCGCAGCTGAGGTAGAGAACTCATAGACAGCACTAGGGTGGGGAAGGAGAAACACAGACATAGATTGCTATACGCACACAGACACACACGCTCACACAGACAGACACACACACACACACACAGACAAAACAGACAAACATGCACACACATAAACAGACACACAGACAGACAGGTAACACATACACACTCAGCTGCTTTTGTCGCACTCCCCACCCAGGTTAACCCTATCATACATCATGTTTTACTATCATATCCATACGACGTGGGGAACTCTGTGCCACCACTTTCCAAACAGGAAATTTACTCGTTAATCCGATCTGTACGCTTTGCATAGCAGTCTGTTAAAATGATTTTTTGAGAAATACTGAAAGTTTCAAAGACATCTTCGCACTAAATGTATTCTAAAATGTGAAGAATACAACCCCGGGGATAGAAAATGACCCCAGGGTGTGTAGATGAGGTTAAAGAGAACTCCCAGACCAATTTGTCTTCCTATACCACAAATATTTGGAATGCCCCCTCCCCCAAAGAAATGCAAATCATAACACCAGAGAGAGAGAGAGAGAGAGAGAGAGAGAGAGTATAACAGAAGTCTAAAGGCGCATTTCTTAACACTTTGCAGTCACACAGCCAGCACTACAAAATACCCCATCTGGTCACCCGGCCAGGAGAGCGACTGCGACGGACTTCTCGAGTCTGGCGGAAAGGATAATTTTCACCGATGCGCCAAGTGACCACAAAGTCAATGCTTGTATATTAACATCTATTTCTGACACACCTACCTGCACGTCAGGGTCTATCTGTGTCTGAGCCGACAACCTCGCCGCAGACAGGTACAGCTCTCGCACTTCCTCGTGCTCTCGGCTGAAAAAACAACACCACAGACAAAAAATTTTAAGCAAAGGTAAGAAGACAAAACAAGCAAACAGACAAACAGACAAACAGACAAACAGACAAACGGGCAAATAGGCAAGAGGCTACCTTACAGCTTTGGTAAACAGAAAATATTTCCCACACCATGATAAAAAGAGTGAGCAAAATAGAAAATATTCCTCCCCATACTAATGCTAAAATGAGAGACCGAAATGAGGCAAATACCGAAAACTTTCCGTTTCCGAGAAATTTCTCAACAGCCTGAGTAATGTGCTCACAAAAACACTAGCAGTGAATCATACAACCATCCCACCTACACATGATAAAGACAAGTAACTCATTCCACCATCCACCTGCTCATGAAAGAGACAAATAACTCATCCCGCTACCTATCACCTACTATCCCACGACAGACATAAGTAACCCACTCCATCACCCACCACCCACCTACACACGATAGACATAAGTAAACCACCCCACCATCCACCATCTCACGACCCATCCGCTTGGCTTATGACAGCAACAAATAACCCATCCCACAACCCACCTGCTTATGACAGACATAAGTAACCCACCCCACCACCCACCATCCCACAACCAATCCGCTCATGACAGCAACAAATAACCCATCCCACCATCCACCACCCTACCTACACATGATAGACATAAATAACCCACCATACCACCCACCAACACTGGATAAACATGAGTAACCAACCCCACCACCCACCATCACACAACCCATCCACTCATGATAACAACAAATAAGCCACCCCACAACGCACCATCCCACCTACTCAGGATAGACATACGTAACCCACTCATCCACCCACCATCCCATGACCCATCCCACAACGCACCTGCTCATGAAGGATAACTCTGGAGGTTGTTCGCCCACCGACTCCGCCAACAAGTGCGTGTAGCGCGGGTTTTTGGCGAGCCACGCCCGGAGCGCGTGACAGGCATGCGAACCGTACGATTCATTGGTGTAGGACACGGCCAGGGACATCCAGGCTGTCAGGTTGTTGGGGTCCAGCTCCACGCATCTGTGAACACACAGACAAATTAATCAACAAACACACAGATACACACACATAAATATCTGTAAATATTTTTAAAAAATCTGCACACCCAAATCAACACACTCACACAAACAAACAAGCACACATACAAAACAAATAAATCAACAGATACACACAAACTAATAAATCAACAAACACACAGACACACACATAAAAATCTGTACACACATCAACATACATACACACACACACACACAGACAAATTAATCAACAAACACACAGAGATACACACACAAAAAAAATCTGCAAACACAAATCAATACACACACACACAAACAAATAAATCAACAACAAACACACAGATACACACACATAAAAATCTGTACATATACAAATCAGCAAACACACACACAAAATCTGCACAAACCAATCAACACACACACACACACACAAACAAAAACATCAGCTTTTTTAGTTTTAGTTTAGGTAGAGGTTTTACGGTTTGTCAGATTGCTAAGAAGAGTGCCATGCAAAGTTGTGCGCACATTAGTAAATAAGAACCTAATGAATCAAATAAAATAATATTTGGTTTAGTTTTAGTAGAGATTTTACAGCATTCGCAACTGCATAAGGTCATACGAGCGCCAGAAGATTAGAGATGTTACAAGAGAGTAACAAAAAGAAGAAAAACCACACCAGAGCACCCACCAACCACCTACACAAATTTTTTTTAATGCTCACAGACGAACGTGAAAAAGCTATAAAATCACAACAGTGCACAACAGGCAGGGCTGAGTCTCCTTTATTCCTTCATGGATACCACACACACACTGCAGAGATGGAAATCTAGATATCATTCCAATAGTTCAAGAGAGAAAAAATACCCCCCTCTCATCCACCCATCCTTCCCCCCTCCCCTCCACCATAGGTCTCAACTCAGAATTTAAAAAAAGGGGGAACTTTCTTTCCGCATGATTGCGACAGAAGACCATTTTCGCGAGACACCCATTATTATAATACTGTTAAACCCTAGAAGAATGCTGAAATAAAAACCATAACTTTATCAAAGCAAGGTTATTTCATCCCAATTTGAGGGTTTGGAAGATAATATCAAGTAAAACAATCACTAAGGAAATATTATTTACAATCTTGATTATGTACACAAAGTGGTGGTAGAAATACTGGGAGGTGCCCCTCCCAGCAGCGGACTAAAGCAGAGGAAATGGCGGCAGCGGAAATCCGCTAAATAGCGGAATATTGAGACCCACGCTCCACACACCCAGACGCGAATGAGCCAACACACAACCCACCTCCTGAGTGCTGCTATTGCGGCCGTCTCCTGTTCATTTGTGGCTTGCGTAGTGCCCAGATACTGCCACGCCTGGAGGTAAAACGACACACAAATTTGTATACATGTCACGACACTGTGGGATCAGGCGATCTTTGGTCAATCTTTGGGTAGCCTATATGGTGGCTTTGAAGGACAAGCGGGCTAACCCAGATTTGGGGAGGTTTCCAGAAATCTTGACCAACACCAAAAGTGGGCATTGCCCTACCTATAGGAGGAGTTTGGTTTCATAGGCATGTATATTTGCTTGGTTATAGAGAAAACTCTCCTTGTCTTTATAAAGAAACTGAACAAGGGGCAAAAACTTTACGTTCGATTTTCTCAAAACAGCACTTTTCGGGATAGCCCCCTAGCGCTTAAAAGTGACCATATGGAGTTAATGATTTCATCTTAAAACTTGTTCATTTCTCTTGCTTTTGATTTAAAAATTTACCATCTTGGATAGAAGTAGATATTGAAGGAGGTCGGGTCGCCTCGGGCGTCAGGGGTAAAGTTAACAGGAAAATGATAGCCAAAGTTTGGTGACTTCCAAAGCTTGAGTGTTCTTCGAAACTGCAAATTTACGTTTTACGTGCCTTTGACCAACGTTTCATGTAAAATCCACACACACATGTTTTAAAATGGACTACAAGGCATTTAGCACCCAAAAAAATTTTAATTAGATAAAAATTGCGAAGTGGGCAGAAAAATGTCTGTTGACCAATTTCATTTTAATTCTGATGAGTGACCCATTTCACTATGATGTATGCCACACATGAGTACTGATTCAGTCCCACCACCTATGTCTCAAAACACCAGACCAGATGAGACAGGAATACATGCTAAATAGAGCAGACCAGGTCACAATTTTTCGACTCCGTTGTGGCCACAACAGACTCAAACACCACATGCACACTAAATTAAAAGTGGGAGAGTCAGCGATCTGTGAATGTAGACACGACCAAGAAGATGACAACCATATCCTTCAGCACTGCCCGTGCTTCCCCACCCTTCGAACACAGACGTGGCAGAATGTGACTCCCCTTGAGAGAAAGCTCTATGGCAGTCTCTCAAATCTGAAGCGAACTGCACACTTTGTGCGCGACATCGGTCTGACTGTCTAGCTGCCGTCATCGAGAACAAGGAAGAAGAAGAAGAGACAGGAAGCCTCACCTCGGCGTGATTGTCGTCCTTCTGCACTGCGGCCTCAAAGAGCAGCACGGCGTTCGGGATGTCGCCGGCCTCCAGACGCTTCAGACCTTCATCGAAGGGGCTCTGGTGCTCCAGCAGGTGGTTGTCCTTGTCAAACTCGTACTCCTGGAACGTGGAGGGGAAGCCACAGGGGAAGGGAAGAAACATTATGTTCATCTACACATAAACTGTTTACAGATAAAGAAACATTATATTCATCTACACATAAACTGTTCCCAGATATAAATAAAGAAATGTTATGGGTTTTTGGGTGTTTTTTATTATCAAAGAAATGTTATGTTGATCTATATCTGTTTACGGATAAAGACACTTAAAAAATATTTATCTATATTGGTGGCATTCTTTTCTTTAAAGTATAGTCATTTCAACGTACAGGGAACTGCTGAGACATTCAAAGCAAAAAAAGCAAAAAAGACAGACAATTTCTTACCTTGAAAGCCTTTGCGGTGTCATACTCAGACAGCCAGGGGTGGCCCTCTTCACTAAAAATACACAACACAATACCAGATGAAATACACAACACAATACCGGATGAAATACACAACACAATACCGGATGAAATACACAACAAAATACCAGATGCAATACACAACAAAATACCAGATGCAATACACAACAAAATACCAGATGCAATACACAACAAAATACCAGATGCAATACACAACAAAATACCAGATGCAATACACAACAAAATACGAGATGGAACACTCAAGGGCCGGCAGTTACTGATACACTCTAAAATGTTGAAAAAACCCCCCCTGAGAAGTTGCAAGAGGAAAGCTCCAAGGTTTGTAAACATTAAAGAGAATCATATAGATACGACAACAACCATTCACAGTTAAAAAACCAGTGCCTCTGGTGTAGCGCTTAAGTGTTTTGTTGCCGCATGCAGGAGACCAGAGTTTGATTCCTGCGTGAGGAAAAATTTTTGGGAGGTATCTCGGTCGGTCTTTCTGTGGGAATGTTGTATCTTTCTCAGGCCAAGTAGGCCCTGACAGGCAGGGTCAGAAGGCCATCTCCAAAATGATCTAAATTGTGTCGATGGAGGTGTAAGAACACTTACATTTTTTATAAAAGTTGGAAAAGGTGTTTTTTTCCAGTTTGTGTAGATGTAAGAGATGTAGTAAAGAGAAACCTATCCAAAGAACACCCAGCATTAGCTTTAGTAAGGTTTTAAGGCACTTGTAACACAATACAGTCAAAAAGTGTAGAAGATTAGAGGTGTTATAAGAGAGTAACAAACACACAAAAGAAGGAGGAAAGATAAGGATGATACAAGTTTGATAGGAAGTCTGTTCCCC